AGGGGTGTTGTGTCCTGAGCCTGCAAGAGGCAGGCTCGGGACGTTGCAAGAGTCCCGGGCATTTGCAGAAGCTGCCCGGGACCAGACTGAGCGGCGCCAGCCTTGTGCGCATGCGCAAGGCGGGAAAAGCCCGCCTCATGATTGGTTGAACTTGCCCGGGGATCAGAGGGTATAAATAGAGGCCTGTGTGCCTCTGCTCGGGTTGTTCGTAGAGTGGAGCAAACAATAAAGATTTGTTGGAGATGATTCGTCTCAAGCGCCATTATTCCCAGGACTTAACAACTTTGCTTGTCAGAAAGTCACAAAAGCTAATCATGTGACCCTGGGACACTGCAACCATCACAGATACAAACCGGTTGCCAAGCGTTTGAATTTTGACCACGTGACTAAGGGGAAGCTGCAACAGTCCTAAGTGTGAAAAATGGTCATAAGTCACTTTTTTCAGTGCTGTTGTAACTGTCATAAATCGAGGACTACCTATACCCTTATCCACATTATTTGAAGCACTGGAGCGATCAAATCCATAATTTAATCCTGCAAAAATTCTATAGAACCTACAGCATTTTAGTTTACTGCAGGATACTGTAGAAGGGATAGGACTGCCACCTGAAGTATGAGCTACAAATGGAGATGTGCAAAATTGGGCAGTCCATCCTTCCTCCCCCTTCCTCCCCCCCCACCATCCCACCAACACAGGAATGGCTCATCCATTTTCAGAAGTGAATGTTTTGGAATAGTAAGTGATATATTTTCTTCTGGATATGATCTGCCCCAAAGTATACAAACAACTCTGAACTACCTGTATTTCCACATCTGGAAAAAACACACAAAGTTCTTGGCAGAGAACACATAGTTCTTGCACTTACCTAGATATAAGGACAAATCCTTTCTTTCTCCAGTGATTCATTTCCAATGAATCCTTGAGTGACATCTTTTTCTGCTCTGGTAGAACACTTCAGCGTGGTCAATGAGGAGCTCGTCTTCAGGCTGGCCAACGGGACAAGTGGCTGTGGCAAAACTCTTCATATCCCACGTACTCTGGATACGGATGTCCCTTTAGACTACAATTCAAATTCTGATCAAGTCCGGACCTGGTTGGAGGCCAAAGGGTTCAATCCATTGTGAGTTGGCCTCTGTTTCTCTTTGAGAAAATATGTGGGTTGATAATGAAATACAGACTTAGATTGGCTATTTCTCTCTTTAAATCGTATTAGATTCTAGATCAGAGATGCTATGCGTATCAACAATCTTTCTAGTTGACAAACACCTAATAATTTAGAGCAGGGCTTTTCAACCAGTGGTACATTGGTACCTGGTAGGTGGTACGCGAACATCCTAGAAAAGTGGTAGCGGGGGAAGGGAATGAGCTGAACCAGTGGCAGCACCGCACAAGCCTGAGTAAGAGATGGCTGGAGCTGCAGGGCTATCAGGGCTCAGTGGAAGCACCAGGATCGGTGCCAGGCTCCAGCTGGAGCTCGGCGCTGATCCTGGCACTTCTGCTGAGCCCAGAAGAAGCGCCGATCTGCTGGAATGTTGCAGCATCTCCAGGGTCTTGTGATTTACATTCAGATGCTTGGCAACTGATTCATATTTATGACGGTCACAGTGTCCCAGGGTCATGTGAAGTGACCAAAACCTGCTGCAACCACCCAGCAGACGGGGGGAATAAAAACCAAACACCCCCCACCCCACCCCCGCTGCCAATCCCCAACAGAAATGCTCACAACAATGAAAACCTCGGAAAGGTGGAAGAGCGCCGCCGGGTGGGCAGGCAGGTGTCTTGCTCGGCTGTGGCTTGGGGGGCACTTTTTTCAGTGCCATTGTAACTTCGAACAGTCACTAAGTGAACTGTTGTAAATCGAGGACTACCTGTACTTTATCACTTTTTTCCTTCTTTTTTTTTTTGGTCATCAAGTTTTTGACACCTTCCTAGGCGACTGGTGGTACTCGGATATTGCCATATCCTAAAAGTGGTACAATGGGTGAAAAGGTTGAAAAGCCCTGATTTAGAGAATGACTTCTGCAATAGCCACAATATAAAGCAGCAGCAACAGCTTTCCTGAATCAGTTTGGTAGGCTTCTAAAATTTACCGCTGAGCTATGATCAATTATGGATTTTAGTTCTATACCCCTAATAGATCCTAACTAAAGTTAAGAGTAAAACTGTGCTAAATAAGATTCCTGTTTGGTTGGGGTGGGGGGAAGAGTCCCCCCCATCTCTTGGCTCAGTTTCTGCCCACTAGAAGTTTGAAAGCATGTTATATGTGAGTAGATAAATAGGTACCACTTTGTGGGAAAGACGAGACAGCGCCTCATACGATTAGAATTCTTCTGGCGCTGGACTTTCCCAATTGCAACTAACGCTTGTGAGGCAGCTTTGGTGGAGGGAGAGGGCCCCAGATGCTGCTGCAGGAAACCGGTTGTCTTTCTTTTTTTCTTTTTTCTTTTTTTTTAATAATTTTTATTATCATTTTCCTTTATACAGCTCTAGTACATATTCAGCAGACTGTGTCATTTTTATATACTTTGGATCAACATTCTATACAATATATACACTATATACATTCAATATCTAACCCACAATAGCCTTATGTATATTTCCAATTTTTGTTTCTATTGTCTATCCAAGTATACCATTTTTCCCAAACTGCGTAAAATTCCGAATCATCTTTTTCTTTAAATTCTAGAGTGAGTTTGTCCATTTCAGCACATTCATATATTTTCTGAATGATCAATCCCTCTGGTGGTATATTGCGTTCCTCCTGCGAACGCAATTCTTGCTGCAGTTAATATATGTAAAATCAGATATCTTATTTTCCTATCAAATTTCTTTTTAAGTATTCCCAGGAGAAATGTTTCCGGTTTTAATTCTATTTCACATTTTGTTAGCTCTTGTAGCCACCCTTGTATCTTAGTCCAATATTTTTTTGCTTCAGGACACATCCACCAAGCATGAAAGAAGGTACCTTGACGATAGTTACATTTCCAACATTTTGGGCTTTGGTTCGGATACATTTTGTCTTTCTTTCTGGTATGGAGCTAGCTCGCCCCCTGTGGCGGATCTTGGAAAATGCATGAGCGTGAATCAAACAGGGCTAGCAATCTTAGGCAGCCAAACTATCATTCTGCATTAGAATTGTAGTTTCCTAGCTAATGTAACTTTGCCTTACACTGAATAAATAAATTAAACCTTGACGTGATGGCCCGGTGCCTGGAGGCCGTGAGGGTCTGGATGGGGAGGAACAAACTCAGACTCAACCCGTCCAAGACCGAGTGGCTGTGGCTACCGGCGCCTCGGCATAGCCAGCTGATTCCATCGCTAACTATAGGGGGCGAAACTTTGGCCCCCTCGGATCGGGTCCGCAACTTGGGCGTTCTCCTGGATTCGCGGCTGACACTGGATGACCAGTTGGCGGCCGTGACCAGGGGAGCGTTTTATCAGGTTCGCCTGATTCACCAGTTGCGGCCGTTTCTGGACCGGGACGCCTTACGCACGGTCACCCATGCCCTTGTCACTTCCCGCCTGGACTACTGTAATGCTCTCTACATGGGGCTCCCCTTGAGGAGCACCC